TATAGAGAGAGAGAGAGAGAGAGAGAGAGAGAGAGAGAGAGTATAATATTTACAAATTTGTTCTATCTAGAGAGTTTTCGTTGTCACTTCTTTCCCCTTTACCATGTCTTTAGCATGTGGTGGATTGTAGAAAAGTGTATCCAAGGGCAAAATCCTCCTTGTTCCATAGTTTGTTGTTCATTGATTACGTTTCTAATTCTCCTATTTATTATTTTGGAGAAGAGTTTGTAAACACATGGCAATACAATTATTGGTGTATAGTTGTTTATATTGTTTCTGTTTCCTTTTTTGTAAATCAGGGTGATAGTACTTAAGAGCCCCTCTTTTGACAATTCTTCTTTTTCAAGAATGAGCTTAAACAGATTTGTGAGAGGTTTCAATGTCACTTCTGATCATATTTTCAGAAGTTCATGGTAGATTCCATCTTCGCCTGGGGCCTTCCCCATTTTGAGGTCTTTCAGAGCTGCCTCCATCTCACACAGCATAATGGAGGACGTCGATTCATTGTTTTCAACTGTAGAGTCATTTAACTTGCCTTTTATTTCTTCTATTGGTGTATTGTAGTTATTTCATGTTTTACTAGCTTGTTGAGCTCTGTATATTAATTCTCAAAATTGAATTTTGGTGCCGTTGTTGTTTCATTTTTTCTCATCGATCATTTAGTAGCAATATTTTGTTGCTTAATTTACTTCTATTCTCTTCCTGGTCTTTCATTCTTGATTTTGCAGTTTCAATGTTTGAGTAAATTTCTTGTATTTCGGTTTCTAAGTTGTTCCTGTTGATAAGAGATTGGTTTACTTGTGATACAAATGTATTTGTATCTGTATAATATTTTATTAAATGAAAATATTTGTGCCCTTCCGTTCTTTTTTCTATAATATGTGTTGTCGATATTAGCCTATGATCTGTTTCAAACATCATGTTGCTCACTGCTTCTAAGTTACTTATTCTTATGATTTTGTCGGTTAGAATAATGTCTATTTCATTACATGTTCTCCCAACGGATCTATACCAGAACCTTTTATTTGATATGGTTTTTTTTGTAGAAGATATTACATATTTTCAATCGCTGTCAATTTGCAAATTGAAGAAGTCTTGATCCTCTCAGTTTGCTATCACCATTTCCATATTGTTCTATGGAAAGTTCATGTGGTCCTTCCGTTTTTCCATATTTTATTGTTGAAGTCGCATAGTACAATATTAACATTTGCTTGTTATTCACTTTTGGTATCATCAATTTTTTTCATAAAGGCTTTCAATTTCATCGTTACTGCTATTCTTGACTGGCGCATAAACTTGAAAGATTGCTATGTGGTCTCTTTCGTAACTTCATTTTGCCACAATTGTTCTCTCATTGATTCCCTTAATTTCTTTCACATAGGGTTTATATATGAGAACCTTGTCCTGCACCGGCCTGCGGTACAGTTGTTGTGTCGGCCAGTAGTAAAGAGCTGGAACGTGTGTGTGCACTAAATTGATATTAATATCAACAAAAGTGCCTCAGAGACCTTCAGATTTTTTCAATAAGCCTTTGGTGACAAATGTATGAGCTGGTCCCAGCGTTTCGGATGGTAAAATCGACTTAAATCAGGAAGAACATCAACTTCTCCCCGGCCAAAAAAATGTCGGATGAGTCGGTGCAACGTGAAAGTAATGCACATTTTTTCGACTGGCAAGAGATTTGTATGAAACCTGGAAGGTGATGGCGCATTTCTTGCTTCACATTCAGATTCAGCGCGTCGACATACATAGAGGCACATGTGTAAGTCTTTGGGTCCAAAACAACCCTCGAAAACAAAAAGAAAACAGTCTTACGGCGGGTTTTCACGATTAAAAAACCTGGAGGGTTGTGGCGCAACTCTGGCTTCAGCTTCGAATTCAGCACGTCTACATACACAGGGAAATATTGTTAAGTATTTGGGGTGCCATTTTGTTTATTTTGTGTGCCTGTGTATTTATTATCGAGGGAGTTGACTCTTGATTTGAGCCTATTTCATTTAAAATAGAATAATTTGTAACACAAGATGTTTCATTTATACAACTCTTTTGAATGATAGATGTATTATGTCCTTCTGATTACAGTAGAGTGATTGCGGTAAACATTTTGTTGGACATAAAATCATCCACATGACCCTCCTAATAATCACCAATTCATATACTCTTTTTTTGGCTCGCCTTTCGTAATGTGACATTTGCGACCTGCCGCGGCAGAGCTTTTGTCCTCTGAAGGCGACTGTGAGAACCCTCCACCTTGAATAATGAACCATGACGAATGTGATTGGTAGACAGCCGTGCAAGAATATTATTCTCGCTTGGCTTCTGGAATCGTCATCATTACTGTATCCGATAACTTGCATGCATGTGTTCATTCTGGAGTAGTCGTAGAGAAAGTTTGTTAAAAAATATTAGAAATCAATTATAATGTAAAATGTATTACATCTGCTTGTATATAAATGTAGTGTTTCACACAAGAATCAAACAAGGCCAAATTCGAGATTTTTCAGTGGGCAACAAAAACCTTCTAGCGTAGACGTGCGAAGTAATGAATTCATGACTTTTCCCTGCCTTATCAATGTGTTTGCCATTTGCCTGAAGAAAATGTCTCTGTATATAGTACAATTGTAGGTTATAACGTGGTGTAATATTCCAACAGATGAAATATTGGACTTGTTGGGTTCTTTTAAGAAATTTCTCAATTAGAAACAACAGTATAAAGATTTTTTCTTTCAGGATGACTGGCTGAAGGCTGCCGAATTGAAATGTATGAATAGCACATTATGTGTCCGGCTGTACTTGGATTCCCGAGTACTTATTTTGATGATTTTGATGCAAATTCTTTACATAAAATGAAAGTCCTGTAGTCAAATTTATTTTGGGTTAATTTATAGAATCTTACTATTGAAATATATAAAAACTGGAAATATTTGTGGTATAATTTTCTTCTATTTCTTCCTAGATTTAAAATAGTGGTACAAAAATGTATTTCTCCTTAAAGAGTTCTCTTTTGCAAAATAAATTATGATTTATTTACGTGTTCATTGGCCAAAACAGTGGACTTAGTCATCAATATAATTTTTGAACAAGAGCACGAACCTTTGTAGGCCTATTTTGAGCCTGCGATGTTCGGTAAACGATTTAACATTTTACTATGCAATTTGAAAAATTATCAACTAATCGAAAATAGGTGTTGCTACAAAAGTACATATTTTCTCGCATTATTTGTAATTGTTGCAATTTGTTACAAAACTACGCAAAAAGTATACTACCCTCAAAAATGTTAGTTCACACTTTTTTATAATCGTTTATTATCCGTGATAGACAAAATTATTCCTTTCAAGGGTTTTCAGATTACATGGGATGCATAATTGATTTTGAGCTACATTTAATCGTGCATGAACAATGTTT